TGTATGTGAACGTTGAGATTATGTATTTGAGACTTCATTGCCTCTGGATTTGTCTTACTTGTAAACGTGTTCCAAATTCAAGATGGTGGTCTAAGTGACCGTATAGTAAATAAAAATAAAAATATATATATACCGGTGATCAAAAATATTTTCAATCAAAATTATATTAAATAACTATGAACACTCACTAAGTGTAGGTAACTCTGTAGGTATCTCACATAAAGACTAACGTAATATATATATATATATATATTTCATATAATAGTGATTGTCCACTGCTTTAACACACACATACACTTGGTATAAAGACAAAATAATACCCATTCTGTAATACATCTGGAGGTACATGTATCGCAACTAAAAGCAAAAGTATAACTCATAGACTCATTGTCTTCGGCTTTGATAATGACATATATTAATCGCTGTCATAGTCGTAAAGACCAGAACGGTCCGATTCATTTACAGATCATCTGATTATTCTCCATTGATATCAACATCGTTGTTATCTGACGTTTCCTCTTATGTGACCTCAGCCAAGATGTATTCAAGACAGGATGGCAAGACGGGTCCTTCTGACCACACTGGCTCAATGAAGTACACTGTAAAAAAATTTGCCCGTAATTTTACGGTAAAAGCACTGTCAAACGGGTTGCCAACAAAAGACCGTAAAATTACGGTCAGTTACGGTTTCCAAAAATGACGGTGACCGTAATTTTAACGCGAATTTCCCGTAAATTTGACGGCAATTTGCCGTAAAGTAATGGAATACAAAGTGGGTGGCGTCAGAGCTGAGTGTAGGGGTATAGGGAGGGGGGTAGGTTCCAGTTGCAGCAGCTGGGAGTGGGGTATGCATACGTCTTGCAGCTTGTCTTTTACACGCATAGTGGTTTTCAAATCACTTAATGTGAAATTATCTTTAAGTTGTAACATAACTTGCATCTGTAAGTTGTAATTTTCATTTACAACTTTTTACCGATCCCACAGAAAGGGGTCAACCTATTGCTGGTCAACACCGCAGGATTAGCTGTTTGTCTCTCCAAATTCCGCAATATCAAAGCATTACGGCTGTGACGTCCCAATGATCAGCACGTAGCGAACGTTGCGTGAGTGCACACGAATCACAGCTTTAAAAACTAGGCGGTTGTGAGGGTTTGAAAGGGGAGGGGTTTTGAAAAGTTACGAATACAAAGCATTGTGAATCCCAGCATGCGTCAGGGCACCAAGTTTTACGGGAAATGCACGTAGCACGTTCTTTCTTGTGACGATACGAGCAATAACGGTAATAAACCGTAAAAAGTACGGGAAATTGACAGTGTTTTTACGGGTTCTGTTTACAGTGTATCCACACATCGGGTTCAGCCATATCTCTAACAGGTAGAATTTCCCGGATGGGTACTACTACATCTGACCTCTTCCACAACGCTGCCCTGTACTTGGCACGCTTGATGTGGGGTACCACTGACTAGCTGCTTGCATGTCGGAAGCCTGGACATATCAACTTAAGATGAGCCCCTGATGGCCCCGCCCTCACCAACCAGGCTTCTTCCCAGCTTTCGCCCAATTTGGCAAAACACTCTTGATACTGTGGCTTCTTCTCAAGCTTCTTCATAGGGGTTTTCTTACCCTTTCCATCGAAGGCACAGTTGCAGTCCTCGCCAGTATAGCAGTTAATGCAGCAGCGGTTGGCCCCATGTCTTCAGGGATATTGCTATGTTTAACACAGTCTCCGGCTAGTGGAGCTGGGAAGTAGATGCGAAGGTGGTAGGTGAGCTACAGGAATTTGTATGCTTCCTCTGTTGATTCCACAGGGTCAAGGAAGTTAACACAGTAAGGGCCCTCATGCTTATAGCAAGATTGTTGGTGATGGCGGGGCCATCAGGAGCTCATCTAAGGTTGATCTGTCCAGGCTTCCACCACGCAAGCAGCTAGTCACTGGTACCCCACATCAAGCGTGCCAATTACAGGGCAGCGCAGCGGAAGAAGTCAGATGTACCCATCCAGGAAATTCTACCTATATGGCCGATGTGTGGAGACTTCATTGAGCCAGTGGGGTCAGAAGGACCCGTTTTGCCATCCTGTCTTGAAGACATTTTGGCTGAAGTCACAGACTGAGAGGCAATGTCGGACAACAAAGATGTTGATATCAATGGAGATGATCTATAAGCGATTAATGCTTTGTCATTATCAAAGTCAAATGTATATATGCATTTATCAATTTTTTTGGCTGATGATCATTTTTCTCACATTTGACCACTTTTGGCGGCCATATTGGCGGCCATCCTGGCCGCCATCCTGAATTTGAGGCATATAATATAACAAGGATACCAGAAATGAATTTGCGAGGGTAAAAAACATATAACTAACCATTTTATTGATGCTTTTAGCACATTATTTGGCCGATTTATGCCTTTTTTCCCTATTTTATTTTACCATATTGGCCGCCATCATAGCCGCAATCTTGAATTTTTACGCATGATAGCAGAAAAGGGAATTTGTAAGGCTCAATAAAATATAACTAACAATTTCATTTATGATTTTATCATATTATTAGGCCGATATATGACTTTTTCCATTTTTTTTTACCAATATGGCGGTCATATTGGCGGCGATCCTGGCCGCCATCTTGAATTTGAGGCATGATAGCAAGAAAAGGATACCAGAAATGAATTTGCGAGGGTAAAAAACATATAACTAACAATTTTATTGATGCTTTTAGCACATTATTAGGCTGATATTTGCCTCCCCCCCCCAGTTTTTTTCCATTTTGGCGGCCATATTAATTGGCCGCAATCTTGGCTATCTCCAGAGCATCGGGTTTGTTTTTACTATTAACATCGAAAAATGTGTTTTGTGACCCTAAAAGGCACCAAAAAAGTTGGTGTTGGTTAGTTCGGGTGGGGGGGGGGGGGGGGGGAGCACGGGGGCCCCATATGCTGGGCGAGCTATTATAATAGAAAGAAAGTAAACAGATCTGAAGAAGGGGAGCAGGTGCGCCCATAGCGTCGAGTGAGGTAATTCCGACCCCGCCCCACCCCCTCTACTTTTTGTAGTAACTTTTTCCCCCTCATATTCTTCTCACCGTCCATAATAAAATTCGGAACGCATGAAAAGAGCGGCGACAACATGGCCCAGGTGTATCCATGCAAAGTGTATTTTCTTTCTTTATGTCATTCTTTTCGCAAATTAGGATAAAGGGCAAAGTTGTGGTCGCCTCGTGGAAATGACATTAAAGGCTAGTTAGTTGAATATAAACCAGTTTTGTCTCCATTCGATACATGCAGAACAAGCTTGAACTGATCTCGGAAGCTACATGCCAATGCATTTGTGTTCATGTATGTGTGACGTGATGTGCCATGTAATTCCTGGAAGGAGTAGTGTTTTTAGTGCAAACATCATGTTTTTTTTTACCCTAGTGACCCAATTTTTCAGGACTGCATAATTATATAAATTGGTAGGCGGTCAAGGGAGACCCATTAAAGGCCTGAGGGACGAGGCGATTGATAGCCATGCAAGGTTGTTGGTGACGTTTGTTACTAACCAACTAACCAACGAACATAACGGAGAGACACGACCATCAGACCTTTATCATGCTGCCACTAACAGTTTTGAATGATAATAATTTTTGTGCAAAAAGGAGCCAGACTATTTTCTCCTTCCAGCCTCGCTTTGGTTACGTTGATTTGAATGGGAAAAATCCAAATGGCCGCAACATGATAATGGTCTATTTGTTGAGCTGCTCAGCCGCAGCTAAAAAAAACGATGCACAGGCTGGGCTCAGTCAGAACAAAATGCGACTGGAAGTACGACTAACGCCATACATAGCTTGACGTCACAGATGGAGGAAACGTACGCAAAATACAAGGGCATTGATGTAAATGTTGATTGTATATATCTGAACTAATTAATTTTTAGAAGACGGAGGAAGTTTTTTTTTGGGGGGGGAGGGAAAAATGAAGTTATGTACTCTTCTTTTATTTATATCAATAGTTTAGAAGCACAATGTAAGAGTTTTTATAGCACGGTATTATATAGTTCAAGCCCTGTGGTTCAAGCCTACCAGAAATTTGTGATCATCATGGTAACTAGTTTCCATCTCTCTAACCCCATTCCCCTCTTCACGACCCCGCCCCTTCCTTATCAATTTCACCTTAATAGGATACAGGTCTATGCAACCTCGTCTCCAGGGTGTCGAGCAGTACGCGCCCACCACTACCTGCTCTCTCACCCTGGTATTGGATCATTTGCATGTGCAAGATTTTTGCACACGTATGCAAATGAGGAACAGTCTGGTGCCTGGATATGCGGTACACATTAGCGTTTGTTTTTGTATGCGGTGTCTGGGGTAAAAACAGAGTCAATTCGTAGCAGCGCGAGCACGGTGTGAGTTACGAAAACACGATTTTTGAAATCAAACTGTTACGATCTTATCGAGACAACATGCAGTATCATATTTCATATTAATATGAGCAAATTGGAAAGGAAATTAGTATTTTCGAGAAGGCGTGGACGAATGATCGCGTACTGCACGTTGTGAATATATAGCACCAAGTACACGATACAAATCCATTACTAGCCAATTGCGGTATCCAATCAGGATACAGGAAGAAAGTTTCCTATCCAGGGTTTACTATTGGAAACGCGGTTGGAAATAAAGTAAGCACTGGGGACGAGGTTGAGGTCTATGGGCTTAACACAATAATTCCTCTCAGTTGGTCAAAACAACTCCAGTCGTGGTGTTTATTTACAAACAACCGTAGCTATCCGCACGTCACCTACATGTACGTGTATGTGTACATGTAACAACTGTGGAAAAGTCCCGATAGGAGACTAATGTTGACGTTGCGTGCACAGTCCGTGAACTTCCCAAGTTTGTTGATAAACAAAAACGAAAACGGCAAAACACTTTACCACAGTCCGCGATGCCACCACATGGTCTTCACGTTGTGTAGCTTTTGATATGCAATTCGCTATGCATTATGGGAGCGGGGAAGTCCATTCGAGGGAGGAGGTGATGCGATGTTTTCATACGTGTCGGCCATTTTGTCACCACTGCGAAATTGACTGCGGGATGGCCACGTTCCGTCAGGCCTCGGATAACGATGCTTGGGCTCTTCTAGCGCTCAAATCTGCCCCTGCCAGCCCTAGCAGGGTCCCGTGGATCGACGATGGTGACAAAGGCAGCGTCATCGCCCGCCTGGAGGGCCGGGACTTTGAGTTTTTGGTCCGAAAAACTCGCATCACGATCGGCCGCAACAGCAAGCAAGGCGAGGTAGATGTAAACATGGGACACTCCAGTTTTATCTCGCGTAAACACCTCGAGATCGTCTACGAAAACGGGAACTTCTTCCTGAATTGCAACGGGAAAAACGGTGTTTTCGTTGATGGGGTGTTCCAACGAAGAGGTGCACAGCCCCTCCAACTCCCTAAAACGTAAGATAGACGATTTTTTTATTGAGTAGTTTACTAAATAACTAAACAACTTGTTTTCCAGAGACTGACTGCGTGTGGATCCATCAGCTGGCTGGCCACTGCGCACGCGCGGTTAAGCTACTTGTTGCAAAATCCTTTTTGGCTTTGGGGAAAAAGTTTCTGCTTCTTCTGCTTTTGCTGGATACTATGCAAGCACCACCAGATGGTGGTTATAACGTATCTGTCAGTGTGGCGGAGGTGATTAAATTTTGTAATGAGCTTTTTTGACCAGCTCATCCATATTTATTTGATCCAGTCTTGCAACCTGATGACGCCACTTTTTTCTTCATATATCATCTCAATGAAGGTCAGTCATTGCAAAAATGATGATAAGACCTGAATCTAGGACTGAGAAATATTTTCAATTTTGTTACGAAATACTTTTTCCTTGAAATAATGAACATTTTCTTGACTCTCCATAGACTTTGTTCACAATTGCGGAAGTGGCGTCAGGTTGCAACATTTTCTCCCTTCAAGCCTTGGAAAGAATGTAGTATCCAGACATCACTTATTTGGTAGTGTGCACAGTCTATGGAGAGTCCAGTGCATTTTTAAAGCATTTTCTTACCAAATTTGAAATGTTTCTCGGTCCCAGATTTATGTCTTTTCAACATTTTTGCAATGACTCACCCATTGAGATATAAATATGTGATGAAAGAAAGTGGCGTCAGGGTGCAACATTTTGGAAAAAAATGTTGCAACCTGAAGCCACTTCCGTGAATGTGAACAAAGTCTATGGAGAGTCAAGAAAAGTATTTCCTAACAAATTTGGAAATATTTCTCAGTCCCAGATTCATGTCTTATCATCAGTTTTGTAATGAATGACCTTCATTGAGATGATATATGAAGTAAAAAGTGGCGTCAAGTTGCAACATTTTTTCCACATTTTTCCCCAAGCCTATATGTTGAATCCTTGCAAATTGTGCATTGCGTATTTAGCAGGGCAAACAACAGATTTGTCAAATTCCTGTACTGTTGAGTAGGCCATAGACAATGCATTAGCTGCAGTCGAATACTATAACTCCAACAAATTACCTTGAATGTTTTTTTTTGACATGTGATTTGCTTCGCATTATGATTTATACTCATTTGAAGTATGAACTGAAATTAATTTGTTTTTATTTTTCCTTGACCTTCAACCTGTTGGTAAGCAAATGCTGTCATGAACGCACATTCATGATTTCAGGCGAAATTACTTGCATAAAAAATGTCAGTACACTGACATATTCTCGTTTTTGAAATTGAAATTGAATTTGACAATATCATTTTTTGTTGTGCATGAACAATTTGCATGCATGTGTACATATGTACCAGTATGCCCATTTCTCCCTTTCAATTTTGCACACTGAAAGTTCATAAGTGTAAAGTTACAGAGTCTTCCGGGAGATGCCAACAAGTTCATGATTTGGCTTATAAATTTTTACTTACTTTATTTCAATTTAAATCTGGTTCACAGGAAATGTACATGTACAGTGGAATGTCGCTATACCAAACACCGCAAACATTCGGCTATAGATACCGAACATCCTCCTTGGCTCCCGATTTTTGTGTACAAAACATACCAATCGTTGTTGAAAAATGTCAACAGAAAAGCGACAAGTGGCTATTTACCCAAGGAATAGAAGGGGAAAGCCACCCATTGCTGTAGGTAGTAAGCTCAAAAACTGTGTAACTACATAATTCAATAGTCCGCACGTGTTCAAAGTCGTCTTTCAGTAACTACCAGGGCGTGCAGGGTGAAGTTCTGAAGGGTGCTACATTGTTGACAAGTGAGTACCGGAGCACCGGCAGCTTAAAATCGCTATACCGAACGTTCGCTATTACAAACAATTTCTGTGGATCCCGCGTTGTTCGTTGTAGCGGCGTTCCACTGTAATGTCTTACAGTTACAGAACGGGCATTTTTTGCCTTTTGTCCACATTTTTTTCCAGCCGTGAATAATGCCATCAAATGCTAAGCCCATGCTATCCAGATTTGCGTTAGTTTGGCGCCTATTGTAAAGCATATCAAGTATGTAGATCTAAATGTAATTTTGCATTGTGTTGCAGCAAATGATTTACAACTTAAGATTTCCAAAAGGAAATTCCATCAGGGTCCTGAAATTTTTCCTTAGGCCAAACAAAAAAATGGTGTGTTTACGGTAACCCGACCGACCTGGAATTTTTTGGCCAAATTGCCAACCTCAAATTTTTTATTGCCATTTTGAAGGTTGATATTGACAAATTTCAAACATTTCAAGTACTTTTAATTATTTGCCATTTTCCACACTTGAATCTGACCATGATTTGACACAAACATACCTAGGTGTTAAACGTGCAAAAATCGCGATGATCTCAAACCTTGAATTCTCAAACTACGAAGTACGATTATTTTTGCACAAACGCATCGGGGTGAACTGGTACGCCTGGCTGGCCGACGGACGGCATGGTTCTGCCCACGTACAAACGTGCGTACTGCGTATCGGCCCGATATGCTGGAATTGCGGCCCGATACGCCGACCAAAATGCCAATCACATTTTTCAGCCCCTGATACGCACAATATAATTATCATACACGCCATTAAAATGCACAATTTAATCGTTACAAACGCCATTATTTCATCTTGACATGCAAAATCTTGACAAAAATCCTGTTTTTCTGAGGTATATGTGTAATCAAAATGCACACGATGACGGGTTCTGTCGACCACCAGCTGCACCCAGCTAGCAGCGCATACAGCATGGTACACTGGTTCCCTTCACGTGCTAACGGAATCAATGCTATGATGAAGGACTGGAACCAGTGACTTCTGCCTCTCTCCATACATCGTACCATACACACATGTACATGATGATGTAGTTGGCCGAAGTTGGATCGTAAAAATATTACCAAACAAACATCGCTGGAGAAAGAGAATTTCTGCGAATTAATTCACAGAACGTGATCTTTATTTTCTGTGTATGTGTTTTCCATTAAAATGACGAGATTGCAAAACTCGAACTTGTGGCGAAACATCGTAGCGTGTTTCTGCAGTAGTGCAAGATTTTTGGCCACGTGGGATGGGCCGTACACAGTGCAGTAATGCACACTGATACTGCGCCGTGAGCACGGCGCGATGAACAGCCGGCCAGGGGGAATGTTGGCGGCGCGAGCGGCCGCATATAGTGGAATCACCCACCTCAAATATATTTTTAATTAGGTGAGGCAAGTTTTAATCATTTTTGATGGCCAGTCTTGATAAATTTTGTGGCGCAAATGAAAATAATCCAGGCACAAAATAAACATGTTTACTTGCTCTAGTATGATGCTCAAAAAATTTGGCGAAAAAATTTTCCGAACTACTGACGCTGTTTTGAAAGGCATGTAATCGGAAGCAAAAGTGATTTTTTTCTGCACCTTAATTTCCTAATTTGAAACTTACTTGTAAATGTTTATACAGTTGTATAAGAACAAAGGGGATAAGTCCGACTGCAACAACTACCGCGGGATCTCCCTGCTGAATGTGTTTGGGAAGGCTGTGGCTAGGCTCGTGCTTAAGAGGCTTCAAGTTTTGGGCGAGTACATCTACCCAGAGAGTCAGTGCGGTTTTAGGTCAAACAGGTCAACGATCGACATGTTGTTCACCCTACGACAGCTGCAAGAAAAATGCAGGGAGAAACATGTAAACCTCTACATCGCATTCGCCTCACAAAAGCCTTTGACACAGTAAGCCGAGCCGGGTTGTACAGAGTGCTTGTGAAGATTGGCTGTCCACCGACGTTGCTCAAGATTGTCCAGTCATTTCATGATGGGATGGAAGCCTCCATCTCCTTCGACGGCGACGTGTCGGACAGTTTTTCTGTCAGATGCGGAGTGAAGCAGGGCTGTGTGATGGCGCCATGTCTCTTCAACATCTACTTCTCATACCTCCTTCACCATGCCTTCGACGACAACACCCTGCGGGTATACTTGCACACTCGCTTCGATGGAGGGCTCTTCAATGTGCAGCGCTTCCGAGCCAAGACCAAGGTGTCTCACTCCACTGTTACTGACCTCCTGTTCGCTGACGATGCTGCGCTAGTTGCTCACACGGCAGATGATCTTCAGACCCTGTTGGATCGTTTCACTTCCTCCTGTGCAGTCTTTGGACTCAAGATCAGCGATTCAAAGACGGTCGCCATGTGCCAGGAAGTGGAAGACCAGGCAGCACTGCAGACGTTCCTGGTTAACGGGAAAAAGATAACAGTGGTAGATGAGTTCTGCTACCTCGGGTCCTGCATCTCAAGTATGGCCAGCATGGAGGCGGACCTCAACAGACACATTGGATGAGCTGCGGGCTGCTTTGGACAACTCAGGAGGCGTGTGTGGGCAAACAAGAAGCTTAGGCTAAAGACAAAGATCGCAGTCTACAATGCGTGTGTTTTGCCTACACTGCTGTATGGGTCTGAGGCCTGGTCGGCCTATGCTGCGCAGATCACCAGGCTGAACAGCTTCCACCTGCGCAATCTGAGGAGTATTCAAGGTGTCAAGTGGTGGGACCGAGTGTCAAACGCAGAGGTTCTGCAGCGCACTCAAGGTGCAAGCATGCATACCATCCTCACAGAGTGCCGGCTCAGATGGTTTGGACATGTCTGTAGGATGCCGCAAGACCGTCTTCCCAAGAGGACTCTTTTCAGCGAAGTCAGCACTGGAGCCCGAGTTCGTGGAAGACCTCTACTCCGTTTCCAAGACCGCGTACGGGACGACCTGCGACACTGCCAGATCAAGGAACGCGGAGTGGAGGAGCTATGTGCTGTGAGGGGAGCGTGGCGGAAAGCAGTCCATGAGGGAGCAGATGCAGCGGAGAAGAAGTGGTGCAAGGAAGGACGGGCGCGCCGGAAACAGTCGGCCCAAGGAGCGGTAGCATGATCCCCATTGGATCTTATGCGGCCAACCAACCAACCACTTGTAAATGTAATACATGTACTTTTCTAGTTCAGGAAGCAGTTAAACACAGGTTGTGA